CTAAAAATAATATCGGGCCTACTTGCGGTTAAGTAAAGGAGTGAGCCAATCATACCTCGATATTTAGTAATTTTTATGGATTTACCTCCTTCATCCTTATCTAATGAGCAAGATGTACCCATGGGAGTATCAATGGCTTTGGAGTTGTCCATTCCAATTTTTTTAAGTAACTCCTTACAATATTTAATTTGAGTGATGAATATCCCATCCTTGTGAATGATTGGAATTTGGTTACATCTACCGTCATGTGACTTGAGCAACCATTATCCAAGTACCACTTGAAACTTTTAGCCTTAAAAAAAATCTCGGTTTCAGATTCATTTTCATCCTTATTTTCCATTAGATATATGTGTTGAGTTCCTTTGCTTAATTTCTCCGGCGGTCTCCCATCTTGCATAAAACATAAGTTTGCTTCTTCCTTGGAGCCATCATCGGAAGAACCAGATTCGTCATCTCAAGTAAGATAAGCCTTCTTGAAATTCTTTCTATCCTTGCCTTGCTTCTTTTCATATTTGTCTTTCTTTTGAAGATTTGGACATTCCGATTTGTAGTGATCGATTTTTCCACATTCGAAGCAAGTAATGGTGAGTTGAGAGGATCTTTCATCTTTAGATCTTTTTCTAGGAGAAAATGCGGGTCTCCTTGAAAAATTCTTCTTAAAATTTTTTCCATACTTCTTTACGAATAAACTCATCTCATCTTCATCAAGATCATTTTTAGAGTCTCCATTTTCTTTTTCTTCATCCTTTTCTTTGCTTGGTGTTGAGGCTTTTAAGGCAATTCCCTTACTTTTCTTGTTGGCTTGTTCCTTCAAAGTTATTCCACTTAGCTCCATTTCATTCTCTTGGAGTTTGCCAAACAAGGTTGTAAGATCCATGGTCTTCAAGTCTTTTGATTCCTCTATAGCTGTCAACTTGGGTTGCCATTCCCTACTATGCACACTTCTCATCACCTTAACAATTAACTCAAGGTTAGTAAAATATTTATCTAGAGCATTTAAATAAGTGACAAGGTGTGTGGATCTCTTTTGCATACTTTGAATGCTTTCATTTTCATTAATCTCAAACAATTCAAATTCTCTAGTGAGAGCATTAAATTTCGTAAATTTAACATCATTAGTTCCTGTTGGACAAGTGGCTTCAATACTCAAGAGGGGGGGTGAATTGAGTTTTATAAAATCTTTTCGCAAAGTGCCTCCTTTGATATTTTAAAGAGTGTTTCTTCAATAAAATGATTTAATAAGAAAAAATCTAAGTGTGAAAGCAAGTTTGTGATCAATAAAGAAAGCAAGCAAATAGATAAACACAATCTAAAAATATAATTTCAATACTAAAACAAGGAGTTTAGGGTTAAAGAATTGCAAACTAGATGTATCCTGGTTCGATCACCACCACCGTGTCCTACGTCCAGACTGAAGCCGCCCGATCAAACTTTTTCACTAACTATCAAGCTTGAGGGTGCTTAACAAACCACTACAACCTTTCAAGACTTTGGGCTCTTGATGCCTTACAATTTTTCACTCCAAATTTTCTTAGAAATTTGGTGACCTCTTAAGTGTAAAGGGTTCATTCCCCTAACTATTCAAGAAATCAAATTGAGGTGTTTAACAATGACTAAGTACTCTCAAAGTATAAATTATATAAGTTGAAGAACTATGGGTGTTAACACTCTCACTAGAATAAAGCTCAAAGAGAATTTATGATCAAGAAGACAAGAATAAAGCAAGTAGTATGATTTAAATGAGTAATAATGATCAAGAAGAGTTGTCCAATCAATGGAATAATAGTCTCTATTTATTGAGGGCCCCACAGGTGTTTTTCTACTAGTTTTCACAAACTATCCGTTTTATAGCCGTTATTTTGTCTTCTGCACAGTGGGTAATCGATTACCATTGGGTGAGTAATCGATTACCATGAAGGGTAATCGATTACCATTGCTTGGATAATCGATTACCAACCTGTTAAAAGGTTGGATTTCGTCTCAAAATGATTTTCTTATGATCAAATCAGTTTCAAATCCTTTTAAGCATTTGATAAACATTAAAAATAGTTTTTCATGCTAGGAATGCATTTAAATGTTTAAACAGTAATTTAATTCATGTATTTGAAAAATGAGCTTTGTTCACGTAAGAAATCAATTTCTCAAATAATCCTAAGTCCTAAGATATATTACTTTGAGATTGCTTGGACTTAGAGTCTTCTCTTGAAGCTTGAGTATCTTCTTTAGACTTCTTTTTTATGGTTGCACTTTGAAGATTTCTTTCATGCTTGTTTGTTATCATCAAAATCGTTGAACTTTTATATTCTTTACGTAGAGTGCATTGGTTTCACAGTTCCTTCATGGGTTCGTCGAAGAATATCTCACATTTTCTTAGCATTCTTATAATTTGAAACATGAAAGTATTCATCACGACCTAAGGCATTTGTAATCAAGTTTTGAGCTCTAGCATTCCAATTTCCTTTCTTAACTTCATCTTCGATGTAATCATCTATATCTTAGGAACATCTTCATTTTTCTCATTTTTTATAATAGGTGGTGTATACCCTTTTTCAACTATGTTTCATACTCTTTAATCATTAGATTGAAGAAATATTTTCATCTGACTCTTTTATTAAGAATAATCGATGCCATTGAAAAAAGGAGGTCTAGTACTAGAAGAACCCTCAAGGGGTATATCATGGTTCAAAGAAGTCATCTCTTCTCTTGAAGTGGTTAAGCTCTTTACACAAGAGTTCAAGCTCTGATACCACTCATTGGACAAGTGGCTTCAATACTCAAGAGAGGCAGGGGGGGGGGGGTTGAATTGAGTTTTATAAAATATTTTCGCAAAGTTTCTCCTTTGATATTTTAAAGAGTGTTACTTCAATAAAATGATTTAATAAGGAAAAGTTTAAGTGTGGGAGCAAGTGTGTGATCAATAAAGTAAGCAAGCAAATAAATAGACACAATCTGAAAAAGCAATTTGAATACTAAAGCAAAGAGTTTAAGGTTAGAGAAATTGCAAACTAGATGTATCCTAGTTCAGTCACCACCACCGTGACCTACGTCCAGACTGAAGCCGCTCGATCAAACTTTTTCACTAGCTGTCAAGCTTGAGGGTGCTTGACAAACCACGACAACCTTTCAAGATTTCGGGCTCTTGATGCCTTATAATTTTTTACTCCAAATTTTCTTAGGAATTTGATAACCTCTCAAGTGTAAAGGGTTCACTCCCCTAACTATTCAAGAAATTAAATGGAGGTGTTTACCAATAGCTAAGTACTCTCAAAGTACAGATTATACAAGTTGAAGAACTATAGGTGTTGACACTCTCACAAGAATAAAGCTCAAAGAGTATTTATGATCAAGATGAATGAGAATAATCAAGTAATAATGATTTAAATGAAGAATAATGATCAAGAAGAAATGTCTAATCAATGGAACAGTGATTCCTATTCATAGAGGGCCCTCATGGGTATTTATTCACTCATTTCCGCAAACTAGCCATTTTATGGTCGTTATTTTTGTCTTCTGCACAGTGGGTAATCGATTACCATGAAGGGTAATCGATTATCATTGTTGGGGTAATCGATTACAATGAAGGGTAGTCGGTTTCCACTGCTAGGGTAATCGATTACCATCCTGTTAAAACGTTGGATTTCATCCCAAAATAGTTTTCTCATTAGCTAAATCAGTTTCAAATACTTTTAATCATTTGATAAACATTTAAAAATAGATTTTCATACTAGGAGTGAATTTAAATGACAAACGATGATTTAATGCATGTATTTGAAAAATGCTTCGAGCTTTGTTCGCACAAGAAATCAATTTCCCTTTCAAATAATCCTAAGTCCTAAGATATATTACTTTAAGCTAGCTTTGACTTAGAGTCTTCTCTTGAAGCTTATGTCTTGATCTTATTTAAACTTCTTTTTTATTGTTGCACTTTGAATCTTTCTTATCATGCTTGTTTATTATCATCAAAATCGTTGAACCTTTATATTCTTTACATAGAGTGCATTGGTTCCACACACACACACATATAATTTATTATATCATATTTATTAATTAATTATTAATTTTCAATAAATTATAACTGTCAGATTGATGAGAATCAACGGTTAAAATTTAGTGCCAAACTTTTTAGTTTGACACCAAATCTTAACCATTGATTCCTGATAATCTCACGGTTATAATTTATTATGTCACTTTATATATATATGAGTTTACTTTTTTACCGCTGCTGTACGTGTAGCAATCAAATATTTGCCATATATATACATGAAAACATTAAATGTTGGGAATCATTAATATACAAAAGATAAAAGTATTACATATGGAGAATCATAACTATACACCTGTCATTGTTGTACATAAAACGGTTGTAGAAATAATTTTACCATACATATATATATAGTAGAGATGAAATAATTGTAATTTATTAATTATATTAATTAATTATTATTTCCTAATAAATTATAATAGATGCATGAAGATTAATGACTAGGATCTAGAATAAGATTTCTTATTCTTACGTCGAAGTCAAAAGATACATTTTCATATATATTAAAAATTAATGAACGTGATCTAATAAATTATAAGATTTACTATTTTTACCGGGTGTAACTTGATGATACCTCAATATATATTTCTCTAGTTGTTGTATATTTTGGTAACTTGCTCACAGTAATAAATGCTGTGCACTCGAATCAAATCAATATAAATATAAACTTAATAACTTAGATTTAGTTTATTTTTATATTTTCAAAAAATAAAATAAAATAAAATATTTATCATGAAAAAATTCATTAATAACAGAGAAAATATTTATAACATTATTAAGCTTTGATTTTTTTTACCGTATCCAAGACATGTATCTTGGTATTGTTTACATGTGTTGGCGCCAAACGTTCAGTCGTGGTTTAGTTTCTGTCCTTAGAAAAAGACACGGAGGATGATGATGTTTTGGTTTATCCATTCATTTCCACACACTTCAGTTCAGTAACATTCCCTCTTGTGGCACTTCTCCTTCTCTTTTTCTTCTTCTCTCACCACTTTTTCATCCTCTTGCACTGTGCTTTTGCCATTCCTTAAGGTAATCCATAACCACACCTTCCCTCTTGCCTCTTTCGTTCATTTCTCACTTATGTAAGTTCCTGCTTTCTAATGATAATGCATTCATTTCTGACACTGCAAAACAGAACCATGGTTTATATATGTTACTTATTGTTTTTCACATGTAATAGTAACAATAAATTAACACTAGTGCTAACCGGTTTCTGGAAATTTTTTGTTTGTGGGTTTAATATGGTTTTCAATTTGTTATTCAGAGTTAATGGAAGTTGTAGAGGCAAAATCTTCATCTGGGTATGGTAAGCCTCCTTGGGTATTTAGAGGCAGGTAAGTGTAACAATCCTTTTCTAGGTACTTGTTGTGTTCTTCTGTGGTTTATGCTGCGGGTGGAGATTTTACTAACTAGTTTAGTTTCTGTGTTTATCAGTGCCTGGTATCAACTCCATCTTGTGAAAGCAGAGAAAGCTCGAGCATGCATTCCAAAAGAATTCAAATTGGTTGAAGCTTTTGGGTAGGCACTTGTACTTATTGAAGTTTCATTAAATGGGTCGCTGAAAAAGCAGAATAAATTTCATCAGTGTTTGGTTTTCTAATTGCTCCTAAGATTAGTTTGTGCAGTTTAAAAAGCAAGTGATATTCTGTTTGTTTATTTCCTAGTTTAATTATGTTCTCTTGCCTTCGGAATGAAACAGTTGATTTCAGTGAAAATTGTTTGGTTGGTGTTATTTCAATAATTCAATTCTTCTATAAAATCATTTTGTACATTATTTCATGAAAATTGTGAATCTAAACACTTGGATATGATTGTAAACTATTTCATTTTCAAATGAAATATTTTTTATTCTAAAATGAAAGAATTGTAAACATAAGGTTGAGGAGTGGGGTGATTGTGCTTTTGTAGTTTGATTTTGAAAATTGTAATTGCTGAGTTTACTCATTACTTACAGATACACACTTGGTGGCTTCTTTCTAGCAAGTTATGAGGATAGTCCAGTTGGTGCCTTTGATGAGGTTCTGTTATATTGTTACTCTCACCTTTTTCTTCATCTTTTTTTGTTATTTAGATAAGTTTTTAATGCAATCTGTTGCTGACATTAGAACTTTGTGATGGGTAGCAGCTAGTCGTGATTGCAGGACTTGTATGGAACCGCCCGACATCCTGTGCGTATGTTCCAACTTTTGGTTTCTATTGTTATATTGTGGTGTGCCTTCCGCTAATATAAAATTTGTTTGTCAACTAAAAAAATTAAAATAAATAAAAGATGGAGAAGAATAAACTAGATAGCACTGAAAAGGAACATGGTTCTAGTTCCAAAGTCATAAAAAAATGTTTTGAACAAATGTGACCAAAGTTGTTGTAGTTTTCCACGTGAGTTGCTGTTATTACCTATTAGTTGCCCAATCAAAATTGTTTTGCCGTGGGATAACCTCCAAACAAGCCTATTCACAAATCTTTTAACCCGAATGCTTCCCCAATGTTATCAAATTATATTCATAGATGTGGGTGATGTATGATACATGCCTTGGGAAGGAGGAATTTTCATGTATTCTTATATTAATACACCAATATAATTAGAGTATAATAGTGACACTCAACTTCATAATACTTCATAATAAAACTTTGACGCTTGCATGATTTATCTGGCTCTCTGAAAGATGTTTTTGTCTTCTTTATCTTTTTAAGCACTGAAGTTCATGAAGAATTATTTTTATTTAGGATGATGTTTCTATATGCAGCTGTAATAGGAACGACTATGCAAGAATTATTTTCCTTTTTGGTATACAAAGGTGCAGTTATAGAGACTTTAGTCTTAATTATTATTATTTTTCTTTTTGTCAAAAGATGGGCAACGACGGTGTACGTGAACAGTGATGAGGCTTGTTATCACGGAAGAAAGGTAGGAGATAAAAATTCCTATATACATACTAGATAAATTTTATTGAAATTTACTTATACCAAAGGGGGAAAATCAAATTTTATGAGTTCTACATTGTAATTCATAGATGATGTCACATGCTGTAATTGGCTCAGTTTTGCTACATGTGAAATGTTCTCTTTGTTAGGCCAATCACCTTTGTGCTTGATTTTGGTATTATGTTGTGATTGGTGTTGTAACTTGCACTTTTGTTGAAGACTTTTCATTTCTAGTCTCACTTTGAAAGTTTAAGTGTGATGTAATGGGCATGTGGGTGCACTAAAGAGTCTTTTATTGGTGATATTATGGGACACTTATTTACAGGTATAACGAGTCATTTTATTAGTGTTTATTTTGGTGTAGTGTGTCAGTTAGTGTTATGTGTGTTTTCATTGTCTTGCTTCAGTTTTGTATTTCTTATAAGAGGCTTATGTTATTATATGATCTATGAATAAAAAAGTATTCTCTTCTAATATTGTGAGTTTTATTAGTTTTGTATTTAACACTTTTTCTGCAGGAAGTGGGGCTTCCAAGTCAGATGGCTAGGTTTTCCAAGGTAGTTTTCTTGACCTAGTGCATCATGCATCATTGTAGTTCAATCTTTTTGATTAATATATTGCTCAGAATGCTTTAGCAATCTGATTCATAAGTTTCAGTAGGATGGTATACTCTAATGGAAACTGAACCTTATGAAGTTGTACACTTCTTCTACGTATATTATAAGGGGAAAAAAAAACAGAAGTTCAGACCACACGCTGGGTGCATAATAATACTAAAGTACTAAAATGAGAAAAGATCTTAATTCTCAAAGTTTAGATCATACTGGCCATACATATATTCATTTGTTCATTCTTCAAAAAGACGATTACAGCAATCTCAAGACAACAGAGAGACAAAAGGAGTGGATTTTTAAATATGATTAGAATTGGTGCCAAGTTCAGCAACCCAAAGGATCACGTGAATGTTGAAGTAACCAAAATCGATTGTCCTGATGCAGAATATACTTGCAACATCAGTCTCACAAGTGCTGGTGAGTGGACTTTGTGATTTGCTTGCACTATCCTCCATATGCTTCCTCCATAATGTTATTTGGAAGGTACATCTAATTATAGTTCACAAGACAATGTCTCCATATGCTTCCTGCATAGAGAATTGCTCAAGATACTACTCAGTGTTATTAGTTTTAAGACTAGACAATATGGCCAATAACATGTGAAAGAAGAAATGGCTATGCTCTGTAATAGTTTTTCATTGTGTTTTATTTTTGTAGTTTCCCCTCTAATTGCAATTGACTATATCAGTAAGGCTTTAATGATTACAAGCATGTTGATAGCAGTGCCTCCTTTGAGCTTTAACCGCTGGATGGGGCCAACAATCAGAATGTCACTTCCAAGTTTTAGGTAAATTAGTTAAGTAAGCCATTATCTCCACATTCTGCTACTAGAGTTTTCAGTTTTCCACAACCAATGATCATAAATTTGTTCCAAATTTGCAGTGGTGGTACCGAGTATAATCCTAACCTCCTCAAGTACTCTTGCCAGATTGAATGCAGGTTTTCTCCCCTACTTCAAAAGTGCAAAGAAATTAACCATTACTATGATTTTCCTTTCTTAGCATACATACTATTCACATGTTTTCCTTTTTGACACATGAGCCTGCCACCAATCTAAAATAACTTCTCAATGGGAGTATTGACATAGGGTGCAAGCAGTGCAGCCATTGAAGGTTTCAGGAGAATTCCCTATAACAAATGATGACAGAGAACAATCTTTAGAAGGCCATGAAGACAGTAGCAATGTGGCTAAAGATCATAACAATGACACAGAGAATTTCAGCACCTGTGTGATGTTATCAAAACCCATATTAGCACTCAAGTTTAATCAAATGAAGATGCAGGTTGAGGCTCCTGTTGTACTTTCCCAATGCTCAAATTCTTTAGAAACTGCGGTCGGTTCTGTTCCATAAGAAGCACACTTTTACTAATACAGAAATGAATACTTGTTTAGTTTTTAAGCAGTATCTGTTGGGTTTTAAACGTTATTTAGAATAAATGAAAATAGAAAATGAAGAGTTTGTGGTGAAAGGGTGTGTCCCTTAGGAATATGTTAGTGGACATTAATGAGTTTAATGTTTTTAAGAAGCAGTCATTATTATGTTTGGATTTCCTAAGTTGGTCATTAGTATTCATAATCATTTGCTATTGTTTATAAATAGCTCATTGTAACTCTTGTAAAGTGGCTTGGTAGAATCAGTAATATAATAGAGGTATATTCAGAGAATTGTGTGTGTATCTTGTGTGTGAGAAAAACACCATTAGAGGACCTGTGAATTACAAATTGGTATCAGAGCTATGGAGAGTGTGACCACTTCCAGTATGCCATTGCCCCGCCTGACAAAGGGGAATTATGTGAATTGGAGCATTCAGATGAAGGCGTTGCTCGGATCCTAAGATACTTGGGATGTTATTCATGACGGGTTTGTTGAACCTGCAACTACCGCAGGATACTCAGCAACTCAAACCAAGGTGTTGAAAGAGACGCGTGCGAAGGACAAGGCAGCCTTATACATGTTATTCCGAGCTGTAGATGAGTCCGGATTTGAGAAGATAGCAAGTGCAACAACGTCAAAGGAAGCGTGGGACATCTTGGAGAATGTCTATAAAGGAGCTGACCGAGTTAAGCAGGTCCGACTTCAGACTCTGCGTTGCGAGTTGGAAGGAATGAAGATGAAAGATTCAGAGGGTGTATCCGAGTTCAAGCCGTGGTGAATCAGTTAAAGCAGAATGGTGAGGAATTATCTGAGACTAGAGTTGTTGAAAAGATTCTGAGGTTGCTGACAGACGACTTCGAAAACGTGGTATGTGCAATTGAGGAGTCTAAGGACTTGGCTACGCTCTCTGTTGAAGAGCTAGCGGGTTCTCTTGAGGCGCATGAACAGCGCAAGAAAAAGAAGAAGGAAGAGACACTAGAGCAAGCACTCCAGTCAAAAGCAAATATCAAGGAAGAGAAGGCGCTATATTCTCAGAACGTCCGAGGTAGAGGTCGTGGCCGAGCTGGACGTGGAAATGGCCGAGGTGGTCGTGGCCGAGGTCATGAGGTGAGAAATGAAGAAAGAACTGAGCCGAGTCAGCAAAACTGGAGAGGTAGAGGACGTGGCCGAGGTGGAAGAGGCCGGTGGTCGAATCAAAATAATGTAGAATGTCATAAGTGTGGGAAGTATGGTCACTACGCAAGAGATTGCAACTCGGACAGGTGCTACAACTGTGGCCGAGTTGGGCATTTCGCGAAGGATTGCCAAGATGAAAGGAGAGTTGACAGGACGTCAAACTTTGCTGCAGAAGGAGAGATAAGAGATGAAGGAGTTTTGATGTTGGCACATGGTGAAACGAGTTCGAAGAGTGAGACATAGTGGTACTTGGATACTGGTGTCAGTAATCAGATGTGTGGTTACAAACATCTGTTCAAGGAGTTGAAAGCGGTGGAAGCCGGACATGTCTCTTTTGGAGACGCGCCCAAAATTGATGTAAAAGGCCGAGGTACAATCTGTTTCTTGCAAAAGGATGGACGAGTTGGTACAATTCGGGACGTGTATTACGTGCCTGAGCTCAAAAGCAATATTCTGAGCATTGGACAGTTGATGGAAAAAGGCTACTCGGTTCTAATGACAGACCGAGTTCTACTATTGAAAGACAAACAAGGGCGTCTGATAGCCCGAGTTCAGATGGACAAAAACAGAATGTACAAGTTGAGTTTGAGGAGCATGGAGGTCGGCTGTCTGCAAGCCGGGGTAGAAGATAAGATGGATTTGTGGCATCGACGGTTTGGACACCTTCATTACAGTGGTCTGACCGAGATGATGAAGAAAAACATGGTAGTGGGACTACCAAAGATTAACTCTGAAGGAAACTTTTGTGAGGACTGCGTATTGGAAAAACATGCGAGGAGCCCGTTCCAAAGGATGGCGAGATACAGAGCTAGGCAGCCTCTGGATTTGATATATACCGACCTGTGTGGACCCATTACTCCGGGGTCCTTCAGTGGTAAGAAGTATTTTGTAACTTTTATTAATGATTTCAGTCGAAAGACTTGGGTGTATTTTTTGAAGGAAAAATCTGAGGTGCTAGAGGCATTTAGGAGTTTTAAAGTAATGATAGAGAATGGTACTGGGAGGTAAATCAAATCGGTCCGTTCAGACCGAGGTGGGGAGTACGTGTCAACAGCTTTTAAGAAGTATTGTGAAGAACATGGGATAAGGCGGTTGCTGACCGCACTGTACTCGCCCCAGCAAAATGGAGTAGCTGAGAGGAAGAACCGGACTATCCTGGATATGGTCCGATCTATGTTGAAGACGAAGAACATGCCGAAAGAGTTTTGGGGAGAGGCCGTACAATGTGTAGTGTACGTGCAGAACCGATGTTCGCACTCAAGTGTGAATGATAAAACTCCACAAGAAGCATGGAGCTGTCTAAAGCCATCAGTGGCTCGTTTCAAGATTTTTGGTAGTGTTGCATATGCATACACACCGGATCAGGTGAGAACGAAACTTGAAGATAAGAGTAAGAAGTTTGTATTCATTGGTTATGATGAGAAGGAAAAGGGGTACAAGTTGTTGGATCCCGTCAATAAAAAGGTGTTGATAAGCCGAGATGTGAAGGTGAATGAAGAAGATGCTTGAGACTGGGGTTGTCCATCCGGGGTGAATGTTGAACCCGAGAAAATGACAATTGAGGTTGGACAACCTTCGTCCCATATCCCAGCTAATCATGAAATCTCTGATGATGAAGAGCAGAGACAACCGAGAATGAGGAGCCTGCAAGACTTGTATGACTCAACTAACGAAGCACACTTGGTATGTTTGTTGGCAGATTATGAAGAAGTGAGTTTTGAAGAAGCAATCTGAGATGAGAAATGGCAATCAGCCATGGAGGAGGAGATTAAAGTAATAGAAAAGAACAAGACATGGGAGTTAGCCGAGCTGCTCAAAGGAAGTCGGCCATTGGTGTGAAATGGGTGTACAAGAAGAAAATGAACGCTAAGGGGGTGATCGAAAGATACAAAGCCTGGCTAGTGGCGAAAGGGTATAGGCAGAAGGCCGGCATTGACTATGACGAGGTGTTCGCACCCGTAGCAAGAATGGAGACAATCAGGCTGTTAATATCTCAAGCAGCCCAATTCGGATGGCCGATCTATCAGATGGATGTGAAGTCGGCATTCTTAAATGGAGTACTCGAGGAGGAGGTGTATCTGGAACAACCTCCGGGATTCATGAAAGCCGGACAAGAAAGAAAAGTGTTGAGACTGAAGAAAGCTTTGTATGGATTGAAGCAGGCCCCTAGAGCCTGGAACACAAGAATTGACAATTACTTCAAGAAGGATGGACTTGAACAATGTCCGTATGAACATGCACTATATGTGATTTTCTTGGGTAATGATGAAGGGATGATTCAAGATTTTAAGAAGAAAATGACGAAGGAGTTCGAGATGACGAATCTCGGTCTGATGAGATACTTTCTTGCTCTGGAGGTCAGACAAGACAAATCTTGGATCTTCGTCTCTCAGGAAGCCTATGCAAAAGGAATTTTAGAGAAGTTTAAAATGAGTGATTGCAACCCGGTTTCAACCCCCATGGAACCCGGCGTTAAACTTTCAAGATATGATGGAGGAGAAAAGGTAGATCCGAGTGTTTATCGTAGTCTAGTTGGAAGTCTGAGATACTTGACATGTACGAGACCGGATCTATGTCTGAGTGTTGGAATAATAAGCCGATTTATGGAAGAGCTGAGCTATACTCACTGGAAGGCGACTAAGAGAATTCTGAGATATGTGAAGGGAACAATCTCACAAGGACTTCATTACTCGAAGTCGGACAAATACAAACTGACGGGTTATTCAGACAGTGATTGGTGCGGAGATGTTGATGATAGGAAGAGCACGACTGGCTATGTGTTCTTCATGGGAAACACGGCGTTTACTTGGGTGTCGAAGAAGGAACCCATTGTGACCCTGTCTACATGTGAAGCCGAGTATGTTGCGGCATCTTGGTGTGTTTGCCATGCAATATGACTGCGGAATTTACTAAGCAAGCTGGAGCAAGAGCAAGTCGGCCCAACCGAGATTCGAGTTGACAACAGATCAGCGATCGAGTTAGCAAAGAACCCGGTTAACCATGAGAGAAGTAAGCATATTGATGTCAGGTTTCATTTCATCCGAGATCAAGTCAGAGAAGGAAAGGTGGAGCTCACTCATGTTGCAAGTCGAGATCAAGTTGGAGATATTTTCACAAAGCCCCTGCCGACATTGTTGTTTGAGAATTGCAAGAAGAAGATGGGAATGAAGGACGATAGAGATATTAAAGTTTAAGGGAGAGTTTTGTTGGGTTTTAAACTTTATTTAGAATAAATGAAATTTGAAAATGAAGAGTTTGTGGTGAAAAGGTGTGTCCCTTAGGAATATGTTAGTGGACATTAATGAGTTTAATGTTTTTAAGAAGTAGTCATTATTATGTTTGGATTTCCTAAGTTGGTCATTAGTATTCATAATCATTTGCTATTGTTTATAAATAGCTCATTGTAACTCTTGTAAAGTGGCTTGGTAGAATCAGTAATATAATAGAGGTATATTCAGAGAATTGTGTGTGTATCTTGTGTGTGAGAAAAACACCATTAGAGGACCTGTGAATTACAGTATCACTTGCCTTTGAATATGTAATTCCCCTCCCTGATCCTCGCTTGCCTACTAATAAAAGGCTTGGAAACAAATTCTGCAGATGCTCCCCAAATACGCAAGCTATCATACTAATAATAAAAAAAAATTCACTCCTCATTAAAGGAGGGTAGGAGTAAGGGTAATTCTTGTATATCCCTTATCTTTGTATATTTGCAAAGAGATTGTTTCCGGGATACGAACCTGTTAGAGAATAATACTAACTATTTAAAAGGTTCTCTTCTAATAACTTAAGTTTTTGAGTTGAATTGATTCTTTATATGGTATCAAAGTCTCCTTGACTAACTGATCACAAGTTCGATTCTCACCGCCCCTATTCAGTTAATAAATAATTACGTATTGTGGAATTTCTTAGCACAAGATGTGTGTGAGGGGAAGTGTTTAAAGGTGGTAAAGTGGGCGGCCCGCCCCGCCATCAACCAGTCAAAAAATGAGTCAGTCTGCCCTCCTCGCTTTTAAGAGTGGGCTGAAAAACTCATCCCACCCCGCCTATATAATAATGTCATCAGTTAACTCCTTGAGATTGCAATTATCACACAAGAACTTTTGATGATCCTATAAGATTGCCAGTAAGGAAATGCAATTTCCATTGCTACGTTGCAAACAATTTTAGCATGCAAATTTGTCGAGGTACAAAAAGAGCTATGCATGTGCCTATTATATGTAGCTACAGTCTAGCTAATGCTCAAAAGTTGAAATAATGGCATAATCAAAGCTAGTGCCTAACAAACAGATTGACTAGCATCTTCATTACATTACAAAATACTAATTCCACTTGATCTGAGATAATAGTAAACACAAGGCCCAAATTAAAAGCCTTCATCACTAAGAAAGATTACAGTCAACAAAGGATGCTGCAATTAATGCCACACCTCAATAAGTTGCTACATACTTCATCCCTAAGGCAAAAGCTCATCCCAACAAGCTGCTATAGACTTCACAACCAAGAAACTACAACAAAACCTTATCATAAGCCACCCCCAAGAACCAATTAGAAGATTGGCTGCCTCACAACTTGCAAAGCATCTCTCTATGAAGCTGGACATCTTTTCACTATAAATATAAATGTGTTAACCACAAGGTACATATCTTCTTTTACATGATAAAACCTGTTTGAACAAAATCTGACTTGAGTGTCGGAGTGTCTTGTAGGTACTGTTAGTATATGGGTGTCTAGAGACAATCTTTTTGATTAAATAAGGACATAAGATGTGGACCTTTTTGTCGCAAATAAATAATAAGCACTCTTTATCCTGTTTCATATTTTGTCTCGATATTATCGTTAATATATTATGAATAAACTGGATAAATCCCTTGGAATAGAACATGTATTTCTTGAGTATCTGTGATGAGATCACGATTATGAGGATTCAAGGATACCGCACGTTTATTCCTAATTCTATGTTCCTAGTCTAGAGACACTGAGAATGGGGATCAGTGATCTCGGGTAAGACTAGCACGACTTATCTACTTGTATTTGTTTACAAGGTAAAGACCTCATCTGCTACAGATATGGAGATGTCTTAGCTAAAGTCGTGGGAGGACCTATAAGGGTATAACATATCACATCAGAGAATGTATTAATGATGTGATAATATTTAGGTATTTTAAGATAAAGTAATTTGATGAGGATCTTTTGACTCCAATGTCAGATTTAGAAGTATTACTCCTAATCTCAACCGTTGATTTCCATGTCTCTAATTGTTATAATTTATTGAGTTTTACCAATTAATTAATTATTAATTTCAAATAAATGACAACAGTTAGATGGACGAAATATTGAGATGGGAAATAAGACTTCTAAATATTATACCGGAGTCAAAACATTCCACAATATATATATATATATATATATATATATATATATATATATATATATATATATATATATATATATTTGGTAAAATCATTTCTACAGCCGCTTTACGTACAGCAACGACAGGTGTATGGTTATGATTTTCTACATTTAATGCTTTCATCCTTTGTATAGTTATGATTCCTCGCATTTAATGTTTTCAAGCATATATATGGCAAGTATTTGATTGCTGCACGTACAGAAGCTGCAGAAAAGTAAACCCCTATATATATATATATATATAGGTAGGATCCTTTGACACCAGTGTCAAATTTCAAATTTGACACCTTATCTTAGAGCCGTTAGATAAAAAAGGATCAATGGTGTAACACCCCGTAGTACTCCGGTTGTTAACATACATGATATTTAACATTCACAGCGGAAGACTTTATTTGAAAAGGAATAAAGCATCTTATAAAAATACGAGTAAACTTTTTCCAAAACATTTCATAAAAACATTTCTAAAAACGTTCACGTCAGATACTGCGAAAGCGTAAATCTAAATATACATCTACTAATTAATCCCATGAGCCAGTATTAGTGGCCATTGACCGTCAAGATATGACATCAAGTGTCATTCCTGACGGAGTCTCACAGACAGCATAACGGCTGTATTTCGGATAACTAGAAACATGATTCTACACATACATATAACCTAATTAATACAACAATTTAAACAGATAGCTTGCAAGTCCCACACGAACTGCAATCCCCTTAATGGGTCAATACAACTAATAAGGCTCCATGCCCAAATTAACTGAATACATGCATCAAGTCTATATTAATTCGAAGTATAAAAGTATCAGTAAATAATCCATGGCTCTAAGAATACTATCATGAGCCTAAATAAATACATACAATAATCTCCATAAAATAATTAAGCATGTTAACAAGTCTACATGCCAACATCAAATCTAAACATAATATAAAATCATCAGCTGCATCATCAACTACTCCAATGCGGGGGCCTTGCCCCTAGAAGCATCACCACTACTCTGGGTACCTGAAATGATGTCCCCAAATGGGGTAAGATAACAACATCTCAGTAAGCTCAAGGTTCATAGAGGATCCTCTAACCCCTGAGCCCACTTCCTGCATAACAAGTCAGATATAAAGCATATAATACAGACATACAACATAAACATAGCATCATCATATCATCCTTGTGTAACCCTAGGGTCAAAGCCATAGACGGTTACACATGTGTGACTTCCAGGTAGACAGTCAACACAACCTCAGTATGAAATAGCTCCCAGAGTCAAGTCATAGGCAGCCTACATACCATGATCACTGGCCAGGATCCTCATAACATATATCATCAGTGCATCATCATAACATCAAGATCATATAACATCTATATGAATGTGAATGAATGCACATATACATCATACCATATACTTTCATACAATATAACCATAATGCCCACCATCATGGTGGGGCCACAAGAGAGAGGAGTCAACTAGAACTAGGAGCTTACATCTTCAAGGTTTCTCCTTTAGCTCAAGTCTCCACCTTTTTCCACCAAGAACACACCTTTAGGCAAGCACACACCTTCATGAACATGCTCATGAGTTAGGCTCAAGAACATAAAAAGAAAAGATGATATTTTTCATGAAAAAAATTTAAGAACACTTACCCAAAAATCAAAGGAAACAAGCAAGCAAGTGTGATTCTTCAAGAGAGCTCAAGAACACAACTCCATAGCCTTTGCTCTCCACAAAACCATGGCTGTTTGGGATGATAAGGGACACGAAATTTTTGATTCACACCATGAAAATGGTATGGTTGTGAAGAGGAGAGTGAGGGGAACAATCTTTGTGAAGGAAGTTTGGTGGTTTAGAGAGATTTAGGTGAAGAAATCTTAGAGAGAAGTGACTTAAGTGATATTCGTCCTTTAGTGAGACCCGGTGTAATTTTTAACTGATCCGTCGTCAAATTTTTACCCGAAAACTCTCAAGACCCTAACTTTAAGTACTTAACATTAATTTTGTCTAATTATCATGTTCATAACTTAAAAATTTGATTAGTAGGTCACAGATCCACTAACAGTTGTTTAATTGCACTGTAGTCTTTACCGGTGTTCTTAACTGTACCCGGATTTCATAATCTTCTTAACTTTAACATTTTTGGTCTAATTATGACTTGTTAGGCATATATTGGTCTTTATTTCTATTTTCTTATCTTTTTCCTGTTCCGGGATTCTACCGGATGCTGCTACAGCAGTACAAAATACCCGGCAGAAGTGACTTTTCAAAAATACCCCAATATGGGTATCAATCTTCACCAAATCATATCCTAACCTCATTCATGATGTTTATATCATTAGATTAGCTCTCTAACTATAATTTGCTAACTTGGAGCTATTCTACTAACTGTTATTACGTCAGCAGTCAAATTTAACAGATGAAAATTCATCTGTGCATAATACCTCAATATGGGTATCAAAATTCTTATAATTTTATGCTCATTCCATTTATGACTATAA